ATTGAGCTCCACCAAAGTCTTTTAGTAGTCAAGAATTTGGAATTTTGAGCACAAATACTATAATGCAGTTTTTTGGATATTAGTTACTAAATGATTGGATTATAAGCTGTTAATCACTTTATCACAAATACAAAAAGATTGAGAAGTTCATATTCTATGTCTAGCTTTAATTGCTAGAGTTTTGTAGTAAACCTTTAGAGTTTTTGCTTTAATTTCAGTGTTTAATATTGGTCTAAGCTTATGTAAGTCAGTCTCTTATTCTTGATTTATTTGAAGCCCCCAATCTTGTTTATGTTGCCCAAATATGACTGATAGAGACATCTGTGGCGTTATGAATCCACTGGCCCCAGATTTGTCTTCAGCGAAGCGTGAACCCACATTGGGTTGGTGAAGTATGTTTACTCCTCCTATAAAGTTTCAGAGATTCAACTTCTAAATTACCTATCCTTGGGTCATCCACTGATATATAAATAATAGATTGAAGTAAGCTGGAGCTTTTGTTGCACGTGACCAAGACTCTCACCTATAAGACATGTTCTTTATATTAGGGTTTTATTGATTGTTTTGCCCACTTAGAGTCTGTTTAGTTTATGGCTATTTAGCACTTAACTTTTAGTAGATAGGGTAGTCTTAGTAGCTCATGTTTTTCAGACTGTTGTGATATTTATGGACCCTATCAAGATCCTGTATATTGAGGTTTTCTCACATTTCTTGTGGATTTGACAGTTGAGATTGGGATACCGAGATAAAGTAAAAACTGAAGTTACAACATGAAAAGAAATTAATTTAGAATTTTTAAAGGAAATAGCAATGATCTATATTTACTTAAAAAGCTGGTAGTATGACAATATCTTCTAACACAAATAAAACAAGCAGATAATGGATGTATAGTTGAAATAATGAGCTAAGTCTGAACAAAACTTTAATGACGCCCTTACCAAATAAAAGTTAATTCTGAATTGCTTCCCAATGCCATTGTGCATGAAGCTCTACAATCACACATATTTTAAAGAATCCAGTGGATATTTAAACTGACTAAATGGCTGATGTCAATGCAACCTGAGCAGAAAATATTGTTAAATGTTAATGGTTGTGCAAATCAGGGAACTCGTAGGTGACATTTTTGTAATGACAGGTCTTTTTATTTGTAATTCTTTATATTTGTGCAAAGTAGCAGAAATAAGGATAACTACTAACTTTTCTACATCATCCCTCACTTTAAATCTATTAGTTATTTCTTCCGTTGTCAGTGATACCTCATCTGCATTGTTACCAGTAACACCAGTAGCCATCACAGTCACAGAATTAGAGTCAAGAGGAGGGACATTTATTACTTTGTGCTGACATATCAGTCTAGAGGAATAAAGAACAGCTATTTTGCAGTTAAGAAGATGCAAATGTAGTTGGAGAAATAAGATGGACTCAGAGAACAGTTTCAAACATCTTTAATGTTTTGGTGGAAAAAATTTTCCTGATTCAATCTCCTTTTATTAGTGTTTCTAGGATTTAATGTGTGTGTGTGTGTGTGTGTGTCTACCCACACCATACAGAAATACTTAAAATAGTTCGGGTCATTTCATTAACTCACTAAGCAAATGTTTTAATGATCACTTACTATCTGCAGGCAGTTCTGGAGGTACTGAGGAGTCAGTAGTGAAAAGGACAGACTCCTTATCCTCATGGAGCCTCTTCTCTAGTTTTAGATAACAAATAAAATTCAATTTTATTGTTTACCTTGGTTTTCAATGATTAGATTCTGTTCCTGCATGTTGTAGCAATTTTTTTAAACAAAAGATGGGTGTTATTAATAAAAATATGTAGAGGATATAGATGATATTTTGTCTTTCAGAAAAGGTTCCTTTCCTCTGTTAGGTGGGAAGAGTAGAAGCTGATCGCCTTGAAACTGGTCACAGGAGGACTGGGAAAGGACTGATACATATTTTCACTCATGATCCACCCACTTCCCATGTTCTCCAGTTTCTCATAGCCCTGTGGATTCTCTCCAAGGCCATAGCCTTTGGCAGCTTCTGAATTATAATAGTCTTGTCAGCATTGTCAAGTCGCCAAACATCTGCTACGTTTTCCTGAGGCTTTTTGCTTTGTCCTTCATTTTGGCAAATGTCTTGAAAGAGATCGTGTCCTCCCGGGCCCCTCCTTTTCACTTGTCTGTTGGCTCCTTACACTTCTGGTGTTGTCTCTCTAGCTCACTGAGACTGCCTTCTGCCCAGCTGAGGCTACGTTCTCCTCCTTCAGTCTTGCAATGCAAAATCAATAAATGTCCCCAGAGACAATATAGCTTGCTTTTCCACAGCCGTCTCCAAGCTGGTATCTTGGTCTTTCTGGCCTCATGGATTCGTCATAAATCATATGCCTTTAAGTGGATTTTGGGGTTCATTTTACTGTTTGATTTCATTATTTAGTTCTCTGCTGAGTTATTGATCTGTTGAAAGTATATCCTTTTCCTTCCTGTTTTTAGATACAGAAATGAAAGAATAATGACTTCTTCCATACATATCTATACAAACACAAGGAATGTGCCCTGAAATTTCTACCCTATTTCAAAGTATTCTAGAACTATTTGGAGAAGTGAGCAGGTAGGGATGGGGCCTTGAGGAAATTCTTTAGTATAGGAGCTGGACTTCTTCTTTGAAGGAGCTGGACCATTACCACAGCAAATACTCTATGAGGCACTGATCTCATTGCCCAAGAACTGTCCCACAATGGTAGAACACGCTGTCCAGGTTAACACGGGGGTTTTCAAGTAGACACTGCTTAGAGTAGTGAACTCCATATAAGTGGGAGATAGAGACTTAAAGGAAGCCTTGGTGAGCTGCAGCTTTTGACTGCTCTTCCAGAATTCTGAATCAGCCTCAAAGAAAATAATTCCTGATCTTCACTACCCACCAAAATACTGGGGGGCAAGGTGGGTGTTCTTTTTTTGCTATACCCCTATACTGGGGTGTAGGCCAGAGATGCAGGGGTTGAGAGGGTTCCCCAGAGACAGAGTGAAGAGCAGAACAGGTGGGTCTACTGAAATCCACTGCAAAGGGGAGCAGTGGGCAAGACAGGAGAGGTCTGCTGTGCCATGTGGGGTTAGCTCCCTGGCTGAAGATGGAACTTAAGCTGTAGGGGTGATAACACTGAGACTCAACACCTAGGCCACCAGGGAGGCCCAGTGTTCTTTTTTTAAATATGTCATTGCTTGTAGTAAGATAGTACAGCAAAGTGGTTAATTTCATAGATTGGGCAGTAAAAAAAATTTAGATTCATATCTTGTCCATTTCCTATGTGCCCGACCATGAGCAAGTTGCAGAAACTCTTTAATGTCTTAATTCCATATTTGTGAAATGGGAATAATGCTGCATTTCACTGTGCTGAGATGAAAGCTGACAGCAGCCATGATATTTAAAGTGTTATTAGTGATCTCTGACACATCGCAAATATGCGATTTATGGTAGCTATACATTTTTTGGTAATTGTGGAAATACATAAAATTGGAGACACAGAATTTTGAGATGAGATGTTAAAATATTTACCTATGCTGCCCAAGTTGGTGAATGAAGCTTATAGAAAAAAAGTAGTTAGAAGTTCATGAGTTAGTTTGGTGTTAAATAAAGCCATTTAAATACCTGTTTCTTTTATAGATAACAAACCATCTGAAAAAACTTGAGGAAAAGCTATCAATAATTGAATTAGAGCTGATTTACTGCCAAGTGACTTCAAAATTGTGCTTCTTCATAATTTTAGTAGAGACATAATAAACATTATTCTATTATATTAATGTGAATCTGGGGAGAATCAAATTTAGCTACTACTCTAAGTTGTACAGGAATTTTCATATTTAAGAAAAGGGACAAACTTTAAGAATAAAAAAAAATTGAGTGGAAAAAACAGAATTAAAAAAAGGAAGATATTTGGTTCTTAACTACTATTTATATGTTATATGGTAGTGATTGGGCAACTTAAGTGATCTCCCTTAGTCCCAGTTTTCTCAGAGAATTTGCAAGTAGTAAACATATGCTTATGATTTCCTTGACTAACAAATAGGAAAATGGAAATGAAAATGCTTAATGAACAATACACATGGTCTTGTTACTTATATTTAATTATAATTTGTATCTTTGAATTTCTTCCTGAGCTTTAAAGAATATGAATTGGTGTCACAGGAAGCAAATAAAAAAAGTGATGAAATTAAATATTCTGGTTATTGTTATATAAGTAACAATATAAGCCACATGTATTTGAATCAACCTTTACCTTGCTTCATAGTATGGGATTTTTTTTTTTTTTCAAATCTTGACTTGATTCTGAACACTATTCATATGTGTGATTTTTATTGTTGTTGTAGTATAGAAGAACTGAGGTATAGGCCAGAGGTGCAGGGGGGTGAGAGGACTCACCAGAGACAGAGTAGGGAGCAGAACAGGCAGATCTACTGAAATCCACTGCTGAGGGGAGCAGTGGGCAAAACAGGAGAGGTCTGCTGCGCCATGTGGGTCAGCTCCCTGGCCAAAGATCAGACTCAGGCCATAGAGGCAATAGTGCTGTGACTTAACTCCTAGGCCAGCAGGGAAGCCTATTCAGGTGTGATATTATATCCAAAGCCTTGCCCTGGTGCCTGATCTGACTAGGCAGAACCGAAGGAGAGTTAGCCCTTCACCAGTCAGTCTAATTCGGGAATTGATTCCACATTGCATACTTGAGTAAGCATGAAATGATGCCTTTGCTGAGTATTTCTGTTTGATTTCCCAATACCTATTGTCAAGTGTAGAGCTCAAAAACGAAATGCAAATGGTAACTGGTATAACCATAATAAGCCCTTAAATCTAATCGGAATTGATCCAGGCACCCCCAGAGCTCTTCCTGGCCTTTCAGGTTTGTAAGCATAGGTCAAGTTTGTTGAAAAGGGGACAGAGTCCCTCTGCGTGTTGCTGAATTAGAAGGCTTTATTTAAATGGTGCTCTGAATCTGGACAACCTCTTGTGTGTTTGTTTTCACAGAGCATATATCATCACGGACTATATGGGCATCCGAAACGAAAGTTTCATGAAACTAGCTGCGGTGGGAACCTGGATGGGGGACTTTGTCACTGCTTGGATGGTAAACAATTTTAACTTCATCTATTTTGGAAGACATATTTAGAATGTTGACTAGATAGACACTTCTTTTGATGGTTTTGTCATTACCTTTCTTTTGAAGTGAAAGAATTCATGGGCATAGATAAATCCACAGGTTATATGCAATACGTGTTTGCCCCCCCCCAAAAAAATCAATGCAATTATAATGTTAAAGATGACTGCCAAACTGTATTGATTCATAAAATACCTATATGTATGTGTACAGATACATGTATAAAATATCTACATATGTTTGTATGTGTGGGCATATAAAATATATGTAATAATGAAATTAACAGAACATTCATCCCTGTGAAGTTCTAAACAATTCAGTAAAGATTGATTTTTGATACAGGTGCTTTCCAGGTAGGAATGTTGGCTAGCCTGCCTTAGAAAACCATATGAAAAATTCTTTAAGAACTTCTAAAATAGCTTTCTATATTTGTCTGCTTTATTGAACCTGCAAACTTAGTGGTAATTAAGATTTTTGAGAGTTGTTCATTTTCATCTCTTTTGTGCATTATTACTAGCCTTTATTATTTTAAGCCTGCAACAAATAGAGACACAATATTTCATACTGGCTCATCTGTTAAGAGACATTTCACTTTTTAACCACTATTGGGTTAATTAAATACAGTGTGTAGCTAGAGGGGTCTAGTTCCTATAAGCTTGTAAGAGACTATCTGGGTACACAACATAGGACATTCATAAATATGGAGAACTTTAATTCACCGATACCTTTCATAGGTACAACTAAGCTTAGTTAGCTTTATCCATCCATTCACTGGAAGATGAGGAGACCTACAAAAAAGAAACGATACCCAGCCTCACTTGGCAAACACTTGCCCAGAAGATGTGTTCCCATTATCTCAGGTGTTGTCACAACAGTTGCTGCCAATTCTATTGCTACAACTTGCTTCTTTTCTAGAACAAGTGTGTGCAGGGAGCAGGACTCAGTTTTACCCTATTTACTACCATTGTATTCATCCTGTGAGAGGCAACCATGAAGGGTTCACATAACCTATTTTTTTATTTTCCTGTAGAGAAACTGGGGTGCAGGCCAGAGGTGAGAAATGGGTGGTGAGATGATTCACCAGAGACAAAGTGGGGAGCAGAACAGGCAGATCTACTGAAATCCACTGCTGAGGGGAGCAGCAGGAGAGACAGGAGAGGTCTGTTACACCATTTGGGTCATCAACTCCCAGGCCAGAGATCGAACTCAGGCATGCTGAGACTTAACCCTTAGGCCACCATGGAGGCCCTTGCTTAATCTGTTTGAGCTTCCTTTCACTTCTGTTTAATTTTGGGTTGTTAACAGAACAAATTGCTAAATATATCCCATTCCATGAGTTTGAAAATCTAAATTTGAAAAGTGATTCATTTTATTTGTAATCACTAGAAATACCTGCTAAAATAAACCAGACATTGAGACCAGGATGCTTAGTGTCAAAAATTTCTACTTCCACTGGGAAAAATATTTAGAAGGAAATATATGAACTTCAACATTTAATTTCCTGCAACTTTGAGGTAACACTTTTTGAAAAATTTCTGCAGTAATTGTGGATTCTTATTTTGACTCCATTTGGTCAGGAATTTGCTTGATAAAATGCAAAAGAGAACTGGACTGAAAGTTCAGAAATTCAGGTATTTCTCACCTTGTGCCTGTCATTTGATGTTCCACAAATAATATATCATCCTCTGAGTCTCGCTTTGCGTATTTCTTTAAAGGACTGAGTTCCTAATGTTACTACCATTAAAATTATTAAATAAAATTTTAAACTTTAAAATCATACATTTTGGGGCCTCCCCTGGTGGGGCAGTGATTGAGCACTGGGCTGCGAAGCTGCCCGCAGCCTCTGCAGTGCTGGTTCGATCCCCCCCGCACCAGCGAGGGTCCCACATGGTGCGCAGACCTCTCCTGCCACACCCGCTGCTTCCCTCAGCAGTGTATTTCGTCAGTCTACCTGTTCTGTTCCCTGCTGTGGTCTGGTGAATTCTCTCACCCTCCCTCGCTTCTGGCTATACCCAGTGCTTGTATAAATAAATAAATAAATCTTAAGGGGGGAAAAAAAAAACTTTAAAAAAATAAATTAAAAAAATCATACATTTTTAATAAAATGAAAAAATAAGCAGGTTTGGGTAATAAGATTCAAAGAAGTGATAGACATTTGACATAAAATATTATGAATGCATTCGATAAAAGTTTTATAATCTGTTGTTTATTCTGCAAAAGTTAAAATGATGATAATAATGAGAAGAATGGGGGCCCTCCCTGGTGGCCTAGATGTATGTCTCAGTACTCTAAACACTATCGACTGTGTTTGATCCCCAGCCAGGGGGCTGACCAACATAGGGTGGATCAGACCTCTCCTGTGTCGCCCGCTGCTCCTCTCAGCAGTATATTTCAATAGATCCTCCTGTTGTGCTCCCCACTTTGTCTCTGGTGCATCCTCTCACCCTGCACCTCTGGTCTACACCCCAGTTCTTCTATGCAAAAATAAATAAATAAAATATTTTAAAATTAAGAAGACTGTGACAAGACTTAAAATATTGACATGTAAGGTGGACATAGTGCTTTATCGTTCATTATTTTGGAACCATAAACCATTGGCTGGGGCCAGTCCCTTGAAGTGGTGGTCAGTGGTTCAGATCTAGGAAGTGACTACTTCCTGACCCCTCTATGGAGGCCCATGAGCAGGAGCACCTTACCGTATTCCATCTTAATCCATCTTAATCCAAACTTCAGGAAACTGAAGTTTCCTCCCAATTATCCATTTTAAAATAGACTGAGATAATATGGTGTCCTGCTTTCTGACTTCTACCTCAGTCTGATTCTGATAAAAGGCAGGGGAAAAATAACAAACAAAGCCTAGAGCTTCCTCTGTAGTTTGCAGGCTCACACCATCCATCTGATACATGAATCATTTTCTTATCTGTGATGACGTCATTATTTGTGATCTCATTCATCCAACTCCTTCCCAGGCTTTCCCTTAATGTTTCATTCATATGTGTGTGTGTGTGTATCTTTCTGTTTCTAATATATGTGTATGTATGTCCAATATATAAGTATGTATGTTTAATATATATGTATATATCAGTGTGTGTGTGTATATATATATATATATACACACACACACATATGTTTATAGACTGGGTTGTCAGAAAAGTCATGGTAAATTTTCTTCTGTTTTTCAAGCAAAAATGCATTGTGACATTTCCGACAACCCAATATTTATTCAATGTTTGCGTAGGTATTATTTTTTTTATTAAGATTTAAAAAATTTTGAACCATAACTTGGAGTCCAGTTTCTAGGGCAGCCTTGAGGCAAATGCATTGTTAAGCTTTGGCCAGAGACCTTCAGCCTTTCCTAGTTGAATTTCTAACAGGTACTTCTCTGCTCTACTCTTGTGGTTTAGAAGAATCCAAGTAATTCTGCAGTGTGGTCTGTGCCTTTCATCTTTCTCCCCAACATCTGGTTGCCTTCACAGATTTTCCTAAATTTACTACAGTATTTTAGTGTCTTCTATTCCTACTAGCTAACCTCGGGACTTTTTACCTTTTCTAATACCTTAGATTATGACTTTGGTCAGTAATCTCAACAATATAGAAGTAGGATAGAGCAAAAATTTTGAAAACTATGTAACAAGTTTAACCTGGCAATGTGATCTTCAATCTACTTAACCCTCAGGTGATGCCTGTCTTTTTTGTTCTGTATACTGGTAGAGGATCCAAAGTCCATTTCTGCTTATATTATATGAAATGTTGACCTTTGTCCATTAGTGAAGATAGAAATGGCAAAAAGAAACACAGTGTTTTCCAGATTTGAAAGGATAGTCACCCAGAAAGGATTCCAGAGCATGCCATTTTCATTCCCATTTCTATTCACTGACTAGGAGGTTTAAGTTTCTGTATAAATATTTGTATGTCTGCATATGTGTGCATTGATAACATTTTAAAAAATAATAGCTTTTCTCATGAGAGGAGTCTGAGAGAGCTTTGACCTTTGTTTGTGTCTAGAATTCTAATCGTGAAATGCATATAAATGATAAAGGTGATTGTCTTGGAAAAGCAAGTGGCTATTTACATTTCCAATAAAAGTGTGCCTTTTAATGCATTTCTGAATTGGAGGATTTTTCTCTTATTGGAAATCATTCAGAAGTTTTCCATGGTTTTGAAAAGCAATACCAGGACTGATGTGATCCACAGCCAAGGCTGATCTTAACCAATCCAAATAAAAATATCTTTGGCTCTCACATCCCTGGGCTTCAAGCTCTAGTAGATTCAGTTTCCTGAGCAGTCCTATCTTTTCCTAACTCAGTGAGTCATCTTGTACACAGGACAAACAATTATACCTCAGGGTTATAATTACTCATATTTTTTAAGAGTAGACTTCAATTTTTTTTTAATTTATTAAGCAGGTAGCTATTCGCTACTTCTCTTTCTTTTATATTTTTTTAAGATTTATTTATTTATACAAGAACTGGGGTATAGGTCAGAGTCACGGGAGGGGGAGAGAATTCACCAGAGACAGAGCAGGAAGCAGAACAGGCAGACGGACCAAAGACACTGCTGAGGGGAGCAGTGGACGAGGCAGGAGAGGTCTGCTGTGCCATGTGGGTTGCTCCCTGGCAGGCTGGGAATTGAACCCATGCTGGAGAGGCTGTGGACAGCGTCACAGCTGTTCACAGCAGCGCTCAACCCGCTGTGCCACTGGGGAGGCCCCCCAATTTTTTTTTAAAGATTTATTTTTGGGGGTCCTCCCTTGTGGCCAGGGGATTAAGACGCAACCTATGAAACTATCTGCAGCCACTGCAGCACTAGTTTGATCCCTGGCCAGGGAACTACCCACATGGCTCAGCAGACCTCTCCTGTCTTGTTCGCTGTTCCCCTCAGCAGTGAATTTAAGAACATCTGCCTGTTCTGCTCCCCACTCTGTCTCTGGTGAATCTTCTCACCCCTGCACCTCAGGCCTACACCCCAGC